CTGAGCTGCTTATGAACAGCTCGAACACTTGACACCAGACTTAGGGTTGTTTCCTCAACAGTAGTAATAATCTGCCAGCACGCAATTAACAGTCATCTTCAATATCAGTCAAGCTTTTTTTGTGAGGGGCACCCCACAACTTCTTAGACCATCTGGGGCAGAACAGGGTTAGATTCCTGATACAGCAAGATGGACTGATTCCTGTTACTGATTAAGAGTCCCCCCAAAGAACTCCTTCAGAGACCAGTCATTCAGATCGCAACAAAACACAATTGTTTTGTGCATTTATTTAGCACCATTCACACAGGGAGAATGTCTCAAAGTACTTGACAGCACTTTAAGACATTCTCCCTACATTAAAGGCATTTAATACGGAGTGTTGGCCTAACAGTCTGGGAGGGAGATATTGGCTGGTAGTCAAAGGTGTAGTCGCAGAGAAAAGTCCTTAGCCGAGTTTGCAAAGCAGAGAGGGAGTAAGGTGGAAGGTTTCTGGAAGACAGTTCCAAGGACAGGGGGGAAGTGGCTAAAAAGCTGGCCTATTGATTGTGGGGCAAAATGGATGATGGTGGGGTTGGGGGGTGCGGTGGGGAGATGCAGCAGGCCAGAGTTTGCAACAGGGAGAGAGGAGGTCGCAGAGGTAGGCAGATTGAGCCTGTGAAGATTGAGGCTTTGGTAGTTTCAGCTCACTGTCTAGGCTGACACTCAGCTGACCACAAGTCCTGTTAACCCCATTTTTTTTACTACAGTGCACTGACCAACAACTGAAACGTGTGAAAGAATGATGATAATTATATTTAGAAGTACTTAATTGTTACAAGTGTTCAATTATATTTAGAAGTCCAGAGGATGTGTGTGTGAGAGTGTGAGTGAGTGCCACCATTTTCATGGTAGATAATAATCCGTCTCCATGTTTGGTGAAAGATCTTACCTAACATGGGATGGAGTAAGGAGGCCAACTGCTTCTCTGACAGCTTGTTTCAGCTCCTCTGTAGTCTCATATCGCTGTTTTATAACTGGGGGCGGGGAACAGGACTTTGTGGACGCCCTGTACAACGCAGTACTGGGGGAGCGGAGTTTGGCTGCTGCATTGCTATTTTCTTCCAATGTCCTGGTCAACAATTCTCCAAATAAATTAATTGTTCACCTCCTATCTGTTTGTGGGACACTGCTGTGCACAAATTGACTGCTTCATTTGTCTATAAATACAGGCACTACACTTAAAAGAAATTCCTGTGAAACCCTTTGAGACGTTTCGAAGTGATAGGCACTATATCACAGGCAAGGATTATTAGATCCGATGGCACTGTTTGAAAAGAGGAGAAGGGAGTTTCTCCCAGTTTCCTGGCCAACAATCCTCAAATTGGTCATTTGCTTTTATTGCTGTTGTTAAGACACTGCTGTGGGCCGTTTAGCTGCTGCTTTGAGATGATTCAACTTGAAGGACAGTATATAAACGCAAGCTGTTGTGTTTGCCTACAAAATATATTTGACAGAAAAAATGGAGGTCAGTGATGTTGATGGGGAGACTGTCTGGCAGCGGTGGCTGAGGAGATAAAATGACAACCTGTGGCTTTTACTGGACCCTGAAAGCTTCGAATCCCTCATCAACCACGTCCCCAGCTGCAGAACCCACTCCCCCTCCCTGCCCGAGAATTCCTCCAAATCAGGTGGTCTCTTAGTAAACAGTCAGTTGCTGTCTGACTCCAGTAGTCAGACATAAAACAGATGGGCGGGCGAGAGAGAGACAGAGGGGTGTCCTTAGAGCTAAGCTGGCTCCAAGGTAACATAATAATAATCCTTGCATTTCATAAGAAGTTATCACCTCGTTGACTCACTTCACAGGATATACTGTAAAGTGGATTGCCTGTGTATTTGTGGGCGAAATGTGGCAGCCAGTTGCACACAGCAGCGTCTTACGAACAAGCATGGATTGAGTGACCAAATTTATTATTATTTTTTTGGAAAAATTATTAACCCCAAAAAGCCATCCACCTATCGACTAGCAACCGGGTTTCTATTTACTGCTAGGTAAACAGAGGCATGTGGTAAGTAAGGAAACTTGTCTAAGGTTTCGCCTTGCCCGGAAATCAACCCGGGTCCGCTACGCCATGGGACGCCATGCTCGGCAACAGAATATTGGAATTCAGTCAATCCTCTGTGACAGTCTCGGTAGTGCAGATACAGAAAGAGGGAGGACTCTGCAGTACTACAAGGCACTGCTGAGGAGACCAGCCAGTGTAGCCGATGGGCAGGACTTTCAGGGGCAGGAATTCTTCTCTCTCAGCTACTGTTAACCCTAGGAGATGAAACCCTTAAGTTTTTGGGGTCAGCTGGGTGGCTAGGACTTTTACTTAAGTTCATTGCATCTCAGCTACACGTGGAAATTCCTGAGTACTTGGGACGTCCTCCTGTCATGGAAAGCGCTATTCAAATATAATTTGTTGCTTGTACTGGAATGGAATGCACACTCTCTCCCCGGAGGGATATATCTTCTCTTACCTAATTCCAGAGCGTTATTAGACTTAGACTAGCAAGAGCCAAAGCTTGCAGAACCCCGGGAAAAAGGAGAAATTAGGAGAATTGTTTGCGTTCTAAAGGATATACGATCCTTCAAGTCTCTAACTTTCATATACCTGTCTACGCCCGTCTTGAAACCCACAATGGATCAGCCTCTACCACCCTACTTGACAGCTCATTCCTCTGAGAGAGAAAAAAAATTCTCCTAAATTCTCCTTTTGGTCTTCTTGGGACTATCTTATATCCACATCCAACTGGTTATATAGTCACTCCACTTTACAGTATATTCTGTGAAGCGCTTTGAGAAGTTTCAAAGACGTGATAAGGCGCTATACCAAATGCAAGGATTAGTATTTTTACCCACGTGAACGTTTCATCTGGAGCAGATGGATAGCAATGAGAAGTGAGAAACATATTTGTCTGCAGTCCTTTCCTAACTCAGAGACAGTGAAATCAATTCAAGAGCTGTACTAAGGTTACAAAACAGACCAGGAATAGAACAATTCAAGGGTTGAGGGCAGGAAAGAAGAGAAATAGATTGAAGAGCCAGAGACTGACAGAAGGGGACAGGTTAGCGTTGGCTACGTTTTTTTTACTTCTATCTGTACAATGTCTAAACCCTCTAAACCCCACCCTCCCTGTCTATCCCCTGCCCCAAAGGCACCCGTGTCCAGCCTGACCCATCCTGTTAGCACATTTGCCTCACAAGCAAGGAGACCTGAGGTTGAATCCCAAACGCAACAAAACCGGAGGCAAATTTCCTTACTCCACACGCCTCTGTTTACCTAACAGTTAGTCGTAACCCGGTTGTTAATTCGATTGGTGGATCGCTTTCTGTGGGTAATAATCCCCCCAAAATAATAAGTTGATCACTCAATCCACGACTGTTTGTGGGACACTGCTGTGCGTTTCACCCATAAAATACACTCTACAGTGAATCCTGTAAAGCACTTTGAAACCTCTTGACAATGTGATAAGGCACCATATCAAATGCAAAGAATATTATAATCAATATTATTTAGTTGAACTACTATGTAATCACACTGAGGCATCCAGTTTTATACATGAATCCATTGTTAAAAAGATTCTGAAGGGATCACAAAGATGGTTGATTAGAGTGAAAGGCTGCTAGACCGGTTACAGATCTTATACAATTTGCAAGGACAGGGCATGAAAAATATTCCTTGCATTTGATACAGCGTCTTATCACTTCATTGGCGGTCGGGCCTTCAGCCTTTCTGCCTCCATCCTTTGTAACTCCATCCCAGAGCCCCTTCCCCTCGCTCCCTCTCTTGCGTCCTTCATGACATGTCACAGCGACAGAAGGTTGAAGTCTCGGTTTCCTCTTCGACCGCGACTTCAACCTTCTGCCTCAGTGCTGTGCTACCAACTGAACCAGGCTGACACCCAAGACACCCTCCCCTCACCCTGACCATTTCCCCCCTGCTCGGGTCCTGACCCAACTGTACAGCGCCTTGGGATGTCCTCCCGACGTGAAAGGCGCTCTATAAATGGAATCTTGTTGTTGTTGTTGTAAAACAAATATGGATGGCCATGAGGCATGTTCAAGTCTACGCATGGAATAATACTCCTTACGTGAGATATCACATCTTCATATTGTAAGGCCATCTCAAAGCACTTCACAGGATTCACTGTAAAGTTTAGTGACTGTATTTTGTAGGCAAACATAGCAGTCAATTTGTACACAGCAACGTCCCACACATAATCATGAAGGGAATGACCAATTTGATCTGGGGCTTGTTGGCTAGAACACCAGGAGAAACTCGCTTATCTTTTCGAAAAGTGCCTTTAATATCCACTTGAACAGGCAGACAGGAGGTCTGTTTAACATCTCATCTGATGGACGGCACCTCTAACAATGCAGCACACCCCCAGCACTACACTGGAGTGTCAGCCTACATTGTAACTTCAAAGTCCTGGCGCGGGGTTTGAACCCACAATCTTAAGTCTGTCAACTCTGACCCATGCTCACACATAATCACACTGGCTAGTTACATAAGTTTGCAATTGTAGACAGAGAATCAAGACATGGTTGCAGACCTCCTTGTGGCTAGTAAAGCACGTGTTGTGGTGAGATGAAAAACAGGAAGAACATGTCTGGCCTCCTCCTCGTCCCCCGCTCCACCCACGGCGGCCGTGCCTTCAGCCACTATGCCCCGAGGCTCTGGAAATCCCTTCCTGACTCCCTTCGCCTCGCTCCCTCCCTTCCCATTTTCAGATCTCTACTGAAGACCTTTCTTTTTGACCGCGCCTTTGGTCACCTTCCTGCCCCTCCCCCTGGATCCTCCCCTCCCCCTGGCTTGGCTCCGGGATCCGTTACTGTGAAGCGCTCTGAGACGTTGCCTGGCATGGAGGGCGCTATATAAATCCAAGTTGTTGTTGTTGTAAGCAGTGCCAGTTTGTGAGCAGATGCATGACTTTCCCCATTGTATGTGATGAGCCAATGTTACCAACGTACTTACCAGCAAATCAGTGTCCTCTGGAGCCAGCTGGTAGTGAGCAGCAAGGCCAGCACAATCCTGGAACTGCTCATAGCACTCGAGGCATTTCAGCCCGTGACGGATTAACCTAAGTGGGTCACTCCGCAGAGGCATGGCAGGTTGATTGGCTGCTGAGCTACCGGTTCCGATTACCGTCAAGCTTCCGGGGACATGGGCAGCTGGGGTGGCGGCTGGGACGGGACGGCAGGAGGTCACGGTGGGGGTGGAAGTGGAAAACATTTGGTTGGGGGGAATGGGCTTCATTAACAACTGTGAGCACTGCATGACCACGCCTTTGCTCTTGTGCTCCCGCGCGTGTGTCAGCAAACTGCACTTGTTGAAGAAAACCAGCTGCTTGGAGCAATGGCTGCACATGACCTCGATGTGGACGCTTCGCCTGTCATGGTGCAGAGCCAAGCTCTTCTCCAGAGCGAAAGCGTCTCCACATTCCAGACATCGATAGCCGCGGGCAGGCAAGGACAAACTGCTGTCCGGAGGCGGCTTAAGGTTCGGTGTGTAGGTTGGCACGGGGTTGGTGCTGTTTAACAGTTTGTTAAACGCCTCCACCACGATGCTCTGGTCTGCAGTAGGAGACTCACTGGGCAGCGAGACGGGCTTCTTCACTTGCTGAACCAGCGGGACGGTGAGCACTTGGGTGACCATCTTCGGGCGCGAGTTACTGGACCTGGCGGTGGCATTGGCGGCCACACTATGAGGGACCAGGTTGAGGCTGGCCAGGTGGACGGCCTTAGGGAGGAGGCTGCTGCTGGACACGTTCGGCATCTGCTTCACCCCCGCTTGCTTCTGAACCTCACTGGCAGCCTTCCTGATGGCACTGCTGGCCTGGTCCGCGGGAGCTTCATATACAGTCATGGCTTTTAGATTCCTACTGCCTTCCAGCTTCTCAGCAAACAGCTGGGAGCCACTCACCTTGACAGGTATGTTGGACAGGGAGCTAACGGCAGCCGCTAAGCTTTTGGCGCACAGCTGCCTCTTTCCATTTTCTGCAGAGTTGTGGGTCTGCATTGAGGCCAGGGTCCCAGGGCTCGCTTTCAAGCCCAATTCTTCGGCGAGGCTCATTTCAGCCATTGACTGCTCGGGTGAGCTTCTTGTCTCACTCTGCTCAGAATCAGGCATTATCCTGGTCACAGTCCTGGTGATTTCGCCAGACGAGGTTTTGATAGTTTTGATCCGGACCCTCGGGATGGCTGGGGGCGAACTGCCCGCCACAGACGGCGATCCTTTGCTGCTGTAGTCACTGGAGACACTCCTGGGGCTGTCGGGTGGTTTGCTCAGCAGTTTCCTCACTGCCTCCATCGGACTTCTGGGACTCTTTGGCGACTTTGGCATCTTGGGGCTGCCCTTTAACCCGTCCTTCAAAAGCAGTGAAGATTCCTTTGAGTTACAGTTCGAGGTTTGTTCCTCCTTTGAAATCTCCACCACTCTTTTGGAGTTTAAAGCAACCAGCGCAGCTAAGCAAGAGGAGAACTTGGAATGCGCTGACTTCAGTCGTTGCCGAGGTGGAACAGACGAGCACGTGCTCAGCTCCGCATCGCTGCTATTCTTTGGCTCGCCTAAGCCGCTGTTGTGTAAGTCACCCGGGGAACTCAAGCCGTCAAAGAAACGGTTGCTTTTAACAAAGCATTCGCCATCTTGCTCAGCTTTCCCAGGCATGCTTGCTGAGTTCACCCGGTGTCCCAATTGACTCTCTGTGGCCTTACAGTTCTGAGTTTCATTGGCCTTCTCCCGTTTTTTAGAGTACTCGTCAAACATGCTGAGCTCTGTCACCGCTTGCTCAGGCAGCTTCCTCGTGGTGTCCAACACAGAACTCAGGCCTGCAGATACAAGGTAAGGTCTATCATCGTGTTTCATTTTATCCACCGCCCCACCACAATGTAAGCCATCCTCCGGTTCGGGGCTAGAGATGGGGCTGAACTGGCTGAACGTTGGCAGGTTCGTTCCCCGTTGCAGGTCAAACTTATCAGAAAAGCTTCTTGCGTTGTCTCCGTTGATGAAGGCTGTGACCAGTTTGTTGTAGTTGTGTCCGAGGCTGTGAGGATCCGGGGTAACATCGGAATTCCGAAACCCATTCTGCAGCTGGCACTCCTTCTCGGTGGTGGAATCGAAGGATTCCTGACGACTGGTGTTCTTGACGATGACACTCACTACGGGTACATCAGAGGCAGGTATGGGCTGGTGCAGAGACAACTCGTCTATACCCATCCCTGCTTGCTTCAGGTGTCCTTCCGCCTCCTCATGGCTGGCTTCCTTGCCATCAAGGTCTGGATCAGGAATGTCAAAAGCAGCCAGGAGATCATCGAAATCTGGGGTCTTCATGTCACCCATGATTGGAAACTTAGAAAAACCTTCAAAGGAAGAAGAAAAAGAACACTACGTTAGTTACTCTTTTGATTCTGTCAGTTGTTCCTCAAGGTTCTCCCCTCCCCGGTGAGACAGAGTCAAAGGCCCAATAAGCAGCAGACATGCCACAGGAAGGACAAGTAGGAAACAGAGGTTTCCTTCAACACAACAGTCGCTTGTGGAAGTGTTATAAAGCATAGGGCCTGGTGTAACTGATTTGCTAGCAAGCTATACTGATGGGAGTAATGATAAATCCATGAGCACGCTCAAGCCTTGGTCTCCAGCATACCTAATCATTGCAAAACACACTTTCAACTTTAGTGATTTTTTTAAAAATCATCTTCCGGGGAAAGAAACATTGCTGAAACGTTATTCACATGGTTATGTTGGATTGTTCTGATTTGCAACGGTTACACTAAATTTCCTTCAGGGTTCATAGGTTTCCCGAATTCAACTCTGCAGGAAAGGCAAGGCCACGTGACAGACAAAAAGGCGTTTGGTGGTGTCTTTTCTTGACTCGACTAACTGCTCACACTGAAGCAATCTGTGATTACAGGAATAGACGCACGGTGTGGCTGCTTCTGCTGGTGGGAGTGACGATTTCCAGGAATCAATGCCATTGTTGCTGCCCTCTCCCCCAGAATGGTGGTGATGTGATGTGAACAGCCGGTAGACAGGTCTTTCACAACAAGCTCTGCTATTATTTACTGCTATTACTGTCGGGTTTCGCCCACAAAATACACAGTCACTATACAATATACTGTATTTACAATATACTGTATTCAGTGATAAGGCGCTTTATCAAATGCAAGGGTTATTGTTATTATATTATAATTAGTATTTCTAGTGTGTAACCTAATTAATTTGTATACAATAATAGTGTTAAATAAATTCTAATAATAATTTGTTCACTCAATCCCGACTGTTTGTGGGACTCTGCTATGCGCAATTGGCTACCTCGTTTCGCCCACAAAATACAGTCATTACACTTACAGTGTATCCTGTGTCTTGAGACATCTCAACAATGTGATAAGGCCCTATATCAAATGCAAAGGTTATTATTATTATTACTTCTGGGGCAAAGAACAGGAAGGGCAACCAACCCTGCCCTCCCCCACACAACCTTTTTTATGCATACTTGCCTGGAATTGCAGTCTACATTGAACAAACATTAACTGCTGTGAGTCATGGAGTCACGTTAACAGTGTACGATACATGATCCTCAGCCTCAACCACTGGGGAGCAGTTAACAAACTCACTCAGCAAAAGTCGAGCGAGGCCACACCACTAATAACAATAATATTCCCTGCATTTGATTTTCTTGGTTCATTCCCTCTCCCCACGTACTACCGACATTATAAATCAGACAAGAGATAAACAATCCTTTTGAAAAATATAATAATTTGGTCACTCGATCCACAACTGTTTGTGGGACGCTGCTGTGCGCAATTGGCTGTCGAATTTCGACCACACATTACAAAATCAATCCACTTTACAATATATTCTATGAATGGCTTTAAAGCGTCTCAATGGCAGTATAAGGCAAGGATTATAATAATCTTGCTCGAGATCACACAAACAATCTTCTGGAGAGAAACCCTCCCCCACACACACACACATACCCTGGGGAGATTTCCTCTGCTCCACTGGATAATTTGAACCAGCCAATGTAACAGGCCGTGTGGTCCAATTCCACAGCCTCCTCTACCAGCCCATTTCCAATGATAACACTCTTTCAAAAAATGATACCAAGTGTTAAATCCATGAACTGCTAAAACATTAGGTTTCAGGACGCTACACTGTGTATTATTTATAAATGAATGCAAATGTTGTTGTTGTATTACAGGTTAACAAACCCACCCAATAGATGAGCAAATGATTCTGCTCAGATTATCTGCTAATACTTTGTCCCTTCAAACGGCTTCTCCTCCCACCCCTACACAGTCCACGTGCCGCATTCGGCAGGGCTCCATCCTCTCCTCTTCACTAACTGCATGCTCCCATTTGGCAACGTCATCCGCAGTCGTGGATTGAGTGACCAAATTATTCTTTTTTCAAAAAACATTTTGGATTATTACAGGATTATTACCTCCAGAAAAGTGATCCGCTAATTGGCTAACAATCGGGTTCCTATTTACTGCTAGGTAAACAGAGGCGTGTGAAGTAAGGAAACTTGCCTAAGGTTTCATCCTGCCCGGGAATCGAAGCCGGGTCCTCTCTCGGGAGGCGAGTGCTCTAACCAATACGCTACAGGACTCCACATGTATGCGGATGACACCCAACTCTATCTCTCTGCCACCACCCTGGACACCAGGACCACTGCTATTCTGACTGATTACCTGTCAGACATCAAGTCCTGGATGAGCTTTAACTTTCTTCAGTTCAATGTCCGCGAGACAGAGGCTCTTCTGCTTGGCTTCTGTCAACATCTTGTCACTTCAGGCGCTGACAGCATCATGCTGGATGGATGCACACTCCACCCCACGTAGCCAATGCGGATCCCCACATCTGTGTTCTTATCCGTTTAGCTTTCCTTCTCCTCCAAAACAAAACCCATCTCTGCCACTGCCTTTCCCTCGAACTTTCACCCCTGCATGTCCAAGGCTTGACTACAACAACTCTCTGCTAGCCAACTTTCCAACGCTTCCCTGCACAAGCTACAGCCACTCTGTAGTCCATATCCTTTCTACCACAGGCTCCGCAAGCATAATCCCCATCCTGATATATCATCACTCGATGGGAAAAGAGCTCAGTGACTATATAATATCATATCTATCATATCGTGCTGGAATATGCAGGCACGAGTGCTCCAGAGCACTTTAGGATGAAAAATAACGTCACAAAATAAAAACCCTTCAATACCAGGTAAAGAAATGAATAATAATATTCATTATACTTGCATTTGATATAGCGCCTTAGCAAGTCATTGAGTTATTTATTATTATGTCTCAAAGTGCTTCACAGAATATATTGTGAAGTGGATTGATTGTGTAATTTGTGGACGAAATGCGGCAGTCAATTGTGCACAGCAGTGTCCCACAAACAATTGTGGATTGAGTGACCAATTTTTTTTAGGGGTTTATTACCACCTGTACAGAGTATATCTCCTTAAACTTACAAAGATTTACAAAGAATATAAAAATAATAATAATCCTTGCATTTGATATAGCGCCTTATCACATCTTCGAGACGTCTGAACGCTTCACGGGATATACTGTAAAGTGAATTGACTGTATATTTTGTGGGTGAAACTCGCACAATATATATATACAGCAGGGTAACAGGCTACTCAGCCCGTACTGGTGTTTATATTTCACACAAGTCTTCACACTTCTTTCCCACCCACACCCTTCTATTGCCCTCTCCCTCATATTTAAAACTTTCAGCTATAAACAGACTAGCTAATGTAATCATGGGCCGTGGTAAACGAAAGCAGCCAGACCACAGGTAAAGAAATAACACAAGGCAAAGACGATTGGGCAATCTAAACACAGCCATATCTCAAACACAAGACAGGCTAATAAACAAGATGACACATTGCAATTCTATTCAGTCAATGAGGTACTGTATAAGGAAACCAATAATAATCCTTGCATTTGATACAGCGCCTTATGTCGTTGAGATGTCTCAAAACGCTACAGTTCAAGATCCTGGACCTCACCTTCAGAGCCCCCCCATGGCCTTGCTTCCCCCTACCTCTGCAACCTCTTGAACCCCCTACCAACCTGTCCGCTCAGCGGGCTCCTGCCAGCTCCACGTCCCCCGCCTGGCCCGCCCCACAATTGACAGGCAGCCTTCTACCACTCTGCCCCATCCTCTGGAACTTCACTCCACAGTCACCCCGCCTTGCCCCCTCTCCTGCCTCCTTCAAGTCCCGTCTCAAGACCCTCCTCTTCGATCGTGCCATCAGTCACCCTCCTTCCCTCCCTGCCCAAAACCCTCCCCAATCCTGACTTCAGCTTGGGTCCAAAACACTGATTGTCCAGGGCCTTGGGACGTCCTCCCGACGAGGAAGGTGCTGTTCAAATGTAATATTGTTGTTGTTAACAGAGTATGCTTTAAAGTGAATTGACTGTATATTTTGTGGGCAAAATTCTCAATAAGTAGACTGCAGTCCTCCTCTTCAACTGTGCTTTTGGCACCCCATACCCCCACCGCGGGTCAAAATCCCTGACTAGTCCATTGCCTTGGGACATCCTCCCGCAGCGAAAGGCGTTGCGTACATGTAATTTTGCATTGTATTGTACACACTTACACAACATCCACCAATGTGAAGGAGCCCCTCATTGTCAAGGTTTGCTGGCACATCTGTGGTGAATCCTTTGGTGAATTACACAGATGAGTATGTGGAGGATAGTCAGAAGATTACATTCTTTATCTTACCAAAGGGAGCACATTATATCTGATCCTTAATGTACTACTAACTGAATCAAATGCTTTCCCTTGTGAATTAATTTAGTTGAAAGACCACGGAAACCAAAAATTTCCCTTCACCCGTTGAGTTTTTCAGTGTCACATCAACATGCAGGAGTCAGTCAGCTTTTCAGTTAATGAGGGCTGGGGCAGATAACAGCAAACCACTGATATTCAAATAGTAAAACCACAGGGAATTCACACTGAACTCATTTCAAGCGAGAGGACCTGGGTTCAATTCCCGGGCGGGACAAAACCTTAGGCAAATTTCCTCACTCCACATGCCTCTGTTTACCTACAGTAAGTAGGAACCCAGTTGTTAGTTGATTGGGGGTGCGGATCGCTTTTCCAGGAGGAATAATCCCTTCAAATAAAAATAATAATAATTTAGTGACTCAATCCATGACTGTTTGTGGGACACTGCTCTATGCAATTGGTTGCTGTGTTTTGCTCACAAAATACAGTCACTACACTTTACATTATATTCTGTGAAGCGCTTTGAGACATCTTGAAGATGTGATAAGGCGCTATATGAAATGCAAGGATTATTATTTTTATTATTTCAACCCGAGAAAACCCCTCGGCCACTTCA